GCCATGGAGCAACTGCATTGTAACCTACCTTGTGAAGTCTTCCTCCCCCAGCATGTGGCGGGGAACAGGTGAGTACCTGGACGGGGTGACCTGAGGCGGCGGGTACACTGGCTTGGGCTCCATTGCTCCCATGTAATTGTGGCTGACGTGGTTGTCCACCATAGGGGGGAAGGCTGGAGGGAGGGCCAGGCCAGTAGGGGGAAAGAAAGAATGATTAAAACACAGGCCCCTCAAAACTGCAACAGCATTAAATTTATAGTGAATGGCAACTTTATCCTTAAAACAACATATACAGTATATTGCTTTCATGAGGTCAAGTTTTAATGCTTTTTATGAACATCAGTGAGATGTTGAAATGTAAGACCACAAAGGCATGGAAAGCAAAAAGACAGTCATGGTTTCATTTCCATCTGAGAACCTTGTGCTCTCGCTCTTTTGAGAAACACTGTAGGTCAAATCAGACAAAAATGTTGACTCATCAGCTGAAGGTTTCAAATAAGAATTTGTTTCAATAAATCTGAACGCTTTCTTAGTTTTTGCATTTCGTCCTAATATATAATGGTTGCTACTGTTGCTGCTACTTGATACTCTGATATGGCTGCTACTGTTGTTTTGTTTGTTTGTGTTTTTTATTTTACATTTTTAATCTTATTTTATCTTACTTTTTAATGTTTTTCTACCTCTTATTTGATCTTTTTAATGTTCTGATTTATTTGCTACAGTTGTTTTTTACATTTTTATTTTTTATCTTACTTTTTTATTTTTATTTTTTTACCTCTTATTTTATCTTTCTAATGTTCTGATTAATCTGCGCTACGAGAGCTGCAAAAAATTGTTTTGTTGTTCATTGTCAAGTGTTCTTTTCAGTGCAAAAATGACATAAAAATTTATCTTATCTTATCTTACAGTATCTTATCTTATCTTATCTTATCTGTACTCATATTTTTGACTAATAAAAACAGATATTTGAGTGATTTAGGTCAGGGGTCTCCTTAGAAGTAAATATAAAAGAAATAATAATAAAAATAAGGAAATGACTCAAAACATAAAAACAACTTGATAATAGGAATTTGTGTATAGTTTGTTCTTTAGTTTTTCTCTTCCAAAATAACCATGTAAAAAGAAAACCACCATGTTTTTTTTTGTTTTTCCATTTTCAAAACCTAAATGTAAAAATGTAAAATCAAACTAATTAAAAATCCACATCCATGTTTGAGTTTTGCTTCAGCTATTTAAACCTAAAACAAAATATACTGTTGTGGAAGTCACCAAAGAATAAGAGTTTATCTGTTCCTAAACATTTTGGCAATGGCTGAACTCAAACCAGATTTTGCATAACTTGGAATATTAAAGCAATTTTGTTCACGACAAAATCATTAGCTGTCAATCAGGTGCATCCACTCCTTCTAAATAAGACTTTGTTTCTTAAGTGTTAAATGAAAACATATTGCATCACGATGATTTCCGGTTCTGCCAGAAAGTAACAAATGGTGCACAAACAAAATATAAAGGTTGTCTTTGCTTTAACCATTAAAATGAAAACAAAAACAAACAAACAAACAAAAAAAAAAAACAAATGAAAAAACAATTGCAATTGTCATTTTTCTAAATTTTAAACTTAAAAAACAACAACACCCAATTATAATATTTTTCTTGTTTTATTTTAAAATGGAAAAAAAAAGTTCGAACCAAACATGGATTATTATTTTATACCCGTTATTATTATTTTATGTTATCTATACAAGCCTATAAAATACTGCTATTGTGACATGGGGATATTGAGATTTTTTGTCACAAGATGACAATTGGTTCATCGCTTTAAACGTTTGGAAGCTGTTCTTCCTGAGCTGAGCTGTGTGAAAAATTGTGCCCACTCAAAATTTAAAGTTGTCATGAGATGACTGGAGGCACTTTGCTACCTGCTGATGTTTTCCACTCAGCAGTTTTTGTATCTGTTTATGATTACAGAACGAACACTGTTTTGTATAGTACAGTATAGTACAGAATAGTACAACTGCACTTCTTCTTTACTGCAGCAATCATTATGTCCATTAAGTTATTCCAGAAATTATGTTATAGTAAAAACAGAAATAATAATTATGGTACATACATGGCAAAAGATGAAAAATATTTGTTACGTCATACACAACTATTTGTTATTTGAGGTTGCAGATGGACAAAAACAATGCATATGCTCATTTCTTTTTCTCTATGCACACATCTTTAATTATAAAACTACACACTCTTGAAGGAAACAGCTGATAAAAAAATAAAACAAGGATTTCATTTTCAGATTACCTGAATCAGCCACTGGATATGATGCTACATTAACATTTAGTTTGCATTTGGGACTCACTCAAACCTTGACAACTGCAAACATGTAAAACGTACAAAAAGCTCACAATGTTCCCCTAATATGATCAAATCATTGCTCGGTAAAAAAATTGAGAAGCTGAAGCTCAAGATCGTGGGCTCTCATGAGCAGGTGGGATGTGAGAAACCAACCACACTAAGTGGGTGGCAGAGAACTGTTCTAGTCGTTGCTGTGGAAAGAGTTGTGTGTGTGTGTGCATGTGTGTGTGTGTGTGTGTATACACAAGCATTCACTATGTGGGTGTCTGGGCATTGCAGCTTGCAGAAAGAACAGTGATCCAACACATAAAAATCAAAAAACATCACTGATAAAAAGGAAAAGACGATTCTCAGTGCAAAACACAATATTGTACACCTCAACTTAAAATTTACCTTTTAGTTACTATAAGTGAAAAAACTGCATTAATGAACACTTTTAACAAGTTTAGTGACAAGAACATCTTCAGGGTGATTGGAAAAACACGACGAAGTAGATACGTACTGCTGGAGTAATCTGGAGGGGCGTACATGTCGTTCAGATGCACGGGTCCTGGCTTGGCCACCTTGAGGTAAACCATATCGGAGGTGTTCTTCAGCGCAGCTACCGCCTCCTCATGACGCACATCCTGCAGCACAATGTTGTTCACCTGAATTGTCCAGAAATGAGAAAGAAATCCTTGTATCAACACCTTTAAGCTTTTTTGTCTTTGCTGAGCTGTGACAACATCTCAAAGTCCTCACACCTGCCAACACAATAATGAATCATGTCTCAGTGCATTTTAACAGAAGGGGGGTGAGGTTTTCTAAATTGTGGAAGAAGGAAGACATTTTAAATACCTTTTTTAATATTCATTTTTTTAATGATTTGTCATCAGATAAAAAAAAAACAACTAAACACCACAAATTGCATTAGTTTGGTAGTATTGGTGCATTAAGTGCTTTGATGTAATAAAGAATATGGAAGAAACCGCACAGGCCTACGTCGAAAAACAGGTCCTGTTAAATAAACCTTAGTTTTTAAAGAGGGTATAATTATACTAGAGAAAGACAGATTAATTAGATGACTTGACCAAAGTTTAACGCTCTAATAAATATTGTGAAGATCTGAATGTATTTTGATTTCAGTTACAGAGTATAGATTAGAGTGAGGTGTGAGCTCGTACAGCTAGCAGGCGGTCTCCGGTCTGCAGACGTCCATCTTTCTGGGCAGCTCCTCCATCTATGATCTTGGTAATATAGATGCTGTTATCTCCTGGAATATGCTGGTTCCCAATCCCTCCAGCGATACTAAATCCCAGTCCTGAACGAGTAAAACGAAGTCAGCATTCATAAAACAAACAAACAAACAAACAAAAAAAAAAACAGATAGTCGAACTTAATATATATTGTTTTTTTAAATCAGTTAATTATTTAAAACCTCAACAAGAGACTCAATAAAAAAATGTGTGACAATGACATTTTTTTTCACCTTTGGGTCCTTTCAGCAGGTTGACCTCCAGAATTGTTTCTGGTGGGGCTTGCCTCCGTCGAACCAGCAGCCGAACCACAGGTCCTGCCTCCTTAAGGGCTTCCACCGCTCGGCTGTGAACCACCTCAGACACATCGACATCGTTCACACGCAGTACGCAGTCGTTAACCCTGTGGAGAGTTTCAAACAGACAACAGGACACTCTGGTATATAAAGGCTGGGAGACCCGGGCAGGGTTAAGATAATCAGAAACCTCCAGAAGAGAGCACTTTAACATAATTTCTGAATGTTTCAGGCTTTGGTTTTGCACTGAATCATAACTTTGAGGAAGCACACAGAGCCGGGAGGCAGAGAGCTGAAGAAACTCTGCCTCCTACACAGCCCTGCCTGGCGGGACACGGTGTTGGTGAGAGCTAAAGATGAGAGTAGAGAGGTTAAAGCAGAAGGAGGATAGAGGGTGCAAGTGAGCTTGAAAAGAGTAAAAAAAATTTTTTAAAAAGTCAACGAGGTGAGAAGGAGCGGAACGTTCTGGAAAAGACAAACTTACCCCAGCCGACCATCCATAGCAGCTGCTCCTCCAGGGATTATCTTGGTGATGAAAATCCCTGGATCATCAGGAATGTGGGGATTGTCTATTCCTCCAGCAATGCTAAAGCCCAGGCCAGAGTTCCCCTGAACACAGATTATGATTGGCATTTGCATTAAGGCACAATAAAAAGCACATCCATGCATTCATTTAGAAGTAATGTACTGCATCACATAACTGAAGCAAATTGCTGTGTTGATTTCTGCCAGGGTCTCTGATATTTGTTTTTGGACTCACAATAATAATAAAAAAAAGTACCACACATATTTTATCAACCTACAATGTTTTACAAATGTCCGACCTCCCATTTTGTAAGCTTGTAAGTAGACACCGCCATTTCTTTCTCCTCCCAAGCCTTACACATATAAAATTTGTGTGTTCAGGCACGCTGCTGCATCTGATAGTTGTGGCCGCAGAGACAGGCAGCAAACAAGACAGCTGAGAAAAGACTTCACTTTATTATTTTCTATAATTAATGAGCAGCGGTCGCTACAAATTAGGACAGTAGGAGGCTGAGGCCTCCCAGTGTGCTGCTCCGGAGCTGAGGGGAGTCGTCTGAACTGGGCCTCACCATCAAATGTTACACACTCACAGACCTTTTAAACTGAGACTTTGCATAGTTTATTTAAGTTTCCCGGGTGCAGAAATGCCACTTAGAATGAAATGGACAGAGATATACTGTACACCCGTCTAGAGTTTGGAGGTGCATCAGCATGTAGGTGGAATAATAAGAGCATATAGCTTCTCCACTAGTAGCTAAACCACTACTGCTAAGTGCAGCGGTACCTGCTGAACAACTGAACAGGAGAGCACTTTACATTTCTGGCGTCTGCTGATGACATGTGCCTCTGGATTATGTAAAGCCATGCATCACTAGAACTGCTCAGTTCTCCTTTACATCACATATAAAACTATTTTCATGTAATTATTTAAAAGCTACGAGAGAAACCTTTTAAACCACTGTTCTTCTAAATTTATAGAAATAAATATGACTGTGTTATTTAGACTCTTTAGGCTCAATTAGAAAAAAACAGAGCTTCTTGCTACCACCTAGTGGGTAGAAATCCATCATGCAGACATTAAAAAGGACTGTAAATCCAGGGGACAGACTGTTTTTAAAAAAGCAGCTTACCCTCTCTAAAATGATCTCTTCATATTTATACATGCCATCGCTGCCATTTACCTGTCAAAAAACACAAAGGTTAGCAATGTCGTTGTGATAAAATGTTATTTCCTAAACAAAAAAATTCTGTACAAACAGAAATATTTATATAAACGGAATACCAAAGAATCAGTGAGGAATATTCATTAAACATAAAGGACACCATTTTTTGCATGTTGAAAATATTAAAAATCTTTTAAAGGAAATGCAAATTTTCTTCCAAATTTTCAGGGAAATCCAGATAATAAAGCAGATTAGGTTGCCATTCGCATGGCGATTCTAAATAATATGTTGGGTAAAAATGGTGAACAGCCTCTTACTACCAGGAGGAGGCCTTTTCATGCACATCTACACACAAACATAGACACGTCCATGCAGCAGAGGAAGTGAGAATAAAAAGGGATCCATACTGTACAGACAGAGAGAGCAGATACTTACATAAGGGCCTGCGTCTAGTGAGTCTGCGTTGACAATGATGGGGGGAGGGTTGGCCTGTGAATGCGAAGAGACGCACATTAGTTCAGTGTGTGAGGCTAGCAACGTGCAGACGTAATCAAGTATACACAGTACTGCCTGGGAGCAGAGGATGCCATAGGAACAGTCAGCGCGTCTCTGTGGGATGGAGAATGTGGGGAGGGACGAGTCGGAGGGGGTGTTTGTAGGTGTGAGGACCGAGAATGAGGACTGGGGCAGAGAGACCGCTGCTTATTAACCGCCACAGCCAGACATCCTGCGGTCACCTCATAAAACAAACCAGCTTGTGTTTCAGCTGTTGAGACAACACTTTTATCCCACGTCAAGTTTCACTTTACACCACGTAGTATCACATAGAAAATGCATGATTTTTTTCATCAGTTCGTGACCAATTACTTTGTTTTACAGGATTTACGCAAATAAACAAAGGACAAAATCACATTTCTTTTAATGAATCACCCTTTTTTTTTTACTGGAGTTACAGATTGAGGCAATTTGATATTTTGTATAAAATGGAATCTAATCTACCATCTATAGGTTTTATTTGTATTACTAATTAAAAAGCTTACTAACATTATTTTCAATTAGTAATAAAACATGTGACAGTTCCAATTTTCCAAAGCCTTTCTTTCATTAATATTGTTTCAATTATGCTAATGGTAGAAAAATGCAGCATTCAGAGCTTAAAACAGAAGTAGAGTTATTTAGCAGACTATAAACAGTGATAGAATTTAGTGATCTCATTTGATGGGTTTTAAGAAGACATTTAAGGACTAGGGCTGCACGACATTAGAAAATCTTGTGATGGTGATAACATTTGTAAATGTTGTGATGACGATATCAGGTGTGATGCGTCTTTTTTTTCTTTCCTCCATTTCTATCAAGTACTTCCTGTTATGTGACCTTTGACACTTTTGGCAATGTTATTTGTGTCTGGTGTGAGCTGTTGATACTGTTGAGACTCTGTCCTACTGGTTAAATATTGCAGATTAGCATGAAAAATACAACTTCAAAACTCTTCAAATACACCAGTCAACAGTTATATCACTCCAAGTAGTCCTTTGCGATATGAATATTACGCACACTGAAATTGCGATGACGATATTTTTGCAACATATTGCGCAGTCCTATTAAGGACATGAATATATCATTTTGCAGTTAGTTTTCCCCCTATTTTTAAGTAACATTTAAACAAACTGAACAGCAAACAGACTAATCAACAAACAATTAAATCATGTGTTAGCTCTAACCTTGCTGGAAATCTTTGTTGAATGTTTCAGAACTGGAAACTCTAGCATTAAATGTTAATTATCTGCTTTAGGGAAAAAACGTTTGTGAATTGGATAAATGGAAATATAGAACTTAATAATCAATTATGAACTTAACTATAATTTACATCTCTCCCTTTATTAATAATGAAAAATATTTAAGTAAAAGCATGAACACAAGTTAGTGTTTCTGTTTTTAGAGACAAAACACATTAACTAACCCTCTTATTAAGTACTACATCTGAAGTTTGTCAGAATGATTATGATCCCAGTTTGACTCTTTTGTGCCACCTGGTGTTTCTGCCCTCACGTTGTTCCTTGTAGAATGAGCAAGAAGTGGAGGAGGAGACACCCAGAAGAACTGAGCAGCAGCCTGTTGACCCGTTCTGTTTAGTTCAGCGCTTTGACCATTTATTTTTTCTTAATTTGACTGAGTTGTGTTGTTGACGCTTGGAGATTTTTAGCTGTTAAAGGTCCAACACAAGCTGTAATCTTCTCCATCTTGCCAACTATTCTCTCTCTGTGTCTTACAAACAAATCACCTATATTAAAGCACCTGCTTCAGTTTAATAACCACTTCCCTTTTTGACATTTGTTTGTACTTTAACATTACAGTTTTACTTCAGATATGCCTGATTTGACAGTTGTCTTCAGTAACGATTGATAAGGAATCATAATCAAACATGTTCAGTTTACCATTACTCTTAAATGTGACATCAATGTTATCATAACATAAATGATTAAAATGAAAATATTGTCAACTTAAGTCACGACTAAAGCCCTTTACATTTTGATATGTTTAAAGGCGGCCTATTATGGGGGTCTTAGCACAAGTTAGGATCCATCTGTGGGCTATACAAAACATGTTCATTTGCTTTAATTCACAAAAAGAATCTCAAATAATGAAATTTCACCTTCTCATTTCTTCCTGTTCTTCAGCTCTCTCCAGAATGAAGTTGCTATGGAAACCCCCCTCCCCTATCCCCCTTATCTGTTTGTTTACATTAGCCCCCACCCCCCACCCCCCATGGTAGAAGTTTCCAAAGTGAAATTAATTTCACAAACTACAGCTTTCTTTGGAAATATTGTTAGAACATTGTCATCAAAGATAAAAATAAAATTAATCCAGGCATCTCTGTTCTCTGTGGCTGCTGTAAAAACAGAACAACTATCGTCCCTTGAGGAAGTGGGCGGAGCTTCACCTCGGTTGCCTTGTGAGGAGCAGGACTCTGGTTTAGGTTGCTAGGTGACTGTTATTGTGACGTCAGAATAACGTGCTTTGAGAAATACCATGTTTCTAGATACCTAAAAATACATGTAATTACAGCTAAAAAACAACGGCTGGGTGCATTTTTCTGGTGTTTGGACTGCTTCTCTAAGCAGTAGTGACCCAAAAGTAAGTTTAAAAACATGAAAAAAAGTGAGTTTTGCATAATAGGTGCCCTTTAACAAAACACATCTTAATTTTTGTTAGTTCTCATAAAGCAAACTCACCAGTTGCAATTAAAAATGAACACAAATCCTCTAACGTATCAACTAATTGTTGGCATATTTAAATAATCTACACATCAAACAACAAAATAATACAGTTGTTCTATGCACCCTGCCTTTTACTTTCTGTATAAATGTTACACTAATAATCTGCTGCAAGATTTACCTACTTGAGCAATGTCTAAGGCCTCTGTAGGCTATGGGTTTTGACATGCTGTTTTTGGTGGAGTTGTGAAATGACTCTGGACAGCTGTGGATGCTGCTGTCCCAAGTCAGCACAACCAGGCTTCCACTGCAATCTGCATATGGACAAACAGATGCTCACATCTGCGCTTGTGTATGCACATTTCCAGTAAAGTCTTCATCTTAGACCCCTAACACATTTCATAAAATCCCAAAAGGATTTCACTGGTGAGAGCATCTGTAATGTGGGAGTGCAGCCGCTATTATGTGCCATCATATTTTGAATGAGCACCATGAAACCACATTGAAACGGCAAGAAGACATGAAACAATGCCTCAGGGCAACACAGGGAAATACACTGGCCACTGTTGTCCCCAGATGACTGACAGACTGAGCTATTGAGTCCATTACTGAGACTACATATGACAAAACACACTATTGTAGTATGATGCCTGCAGTGTGTATTGTAACTATCACAGCGGACCAGTGCAGCCCAGCGGGATCACTAAAACTACACGCAGATGCATTACACTAACCTGGGTTTCCTGCTTAATCCCGCTACCCAATTCTCATGCAAGAGGCAAACAAAGCGGAATAATGCAAGATAATCTCAACCTGAGTAAACACTACATGAGTTTGATTAAACGTTCGACAGCGTATACAGGTACATTGGATTAGACTGGAATATACCTCCCTCCCTGGCCTCGCCTCACGGTATTATAGCTTAAAAAAATGAAGAAAGCTGATTTAGGAAATCTGACCAGATTATTCTGACAGCTGAGGCTGTGTTGACTTGATCTATCAGGATTTTTCTCATTCAGACTGAAGTCAATGCAGCAGATGAAGAGCGTGTCTGGAGTCTATTGCAGGTGGATGTGGGTCAGACAACAACAAAATTATTGCTGTAAAAAATTATAGATGTGAAACAGAGCCTAACATGTAGACCTGGACTTCATGTGAGACCACTGCATTGACCGCCTGTTTTATACACAATTTATCTTCCAGCATTCAAAATGCAAACTGAATAAATATTAAGATAAAATAAATGGTTTATAAAGAAATATTATTCTTTTTAGCAACAGCCAACACTCTGAATAAAAAATTAATAATAGATGGAGAAACAAATAAACCTACTTGAATTAGCTTTTAAAGACTAAAAATTACTTGTCAGTCTGATTTATGCATGGAATTACATGCATTACCTGCATTTTACTGGATGAGAATTTGCACAATAATTAAATTATTTGTAGACCTAAACTTACAGCACAGATTAAAATAGCCACAATGTAAATCTTTCATTTTTATCGTTTCCAAAAGAAAGAGGAGTAACTTGACTTTCTGTAACTTTCAAAACAGATGTTTTTCTTAATAATGCAGCTGTAACAGATGGCAGACGGAAAGAATTTACCGATGGCTCTGATCCAGTCACAACGCAAGCTTGGTGATCCGATCACAGTGAACGCTGCAAACAATTTCAGCTTCATGAACAAGTGTAATTTTCTAATCAGACAGAAACCACGCGTTAACCTGAGAGTTGCCTCAAAAGATTTACATCAAAGATGGCAAAGGACAAACTGATAAGAGAGCATACCAGACACAGAGACCTCATGTACAGACAATGACAGTAAGTCCAGACTGCGTCCCCAGCATGAAATCATCACAAGTCCCCGCTGACCACAAGGAGCGACGAAAACGCACTCGCTACAGAGCTTGCTTTCTTTCTCCCACTCAGGTCCATTCACCCATCTGTCCATGATCGTTCCCCATTTATCAATCTATCATCTTGCTCTTCTGTCAGTTGGGACAGTGTGTCTGTCTCTTGTCTCTCAGCATCACGGTCAATGTATATCATGTCCTACTGGCATTGCATCACTTGGCTGAAGACCCTGGGGACAATAAAGCCACAAAGACTACCAGCAGGGCAGAGGCTTCATCCAAACTGTTAAATAATTAATGTGTTCCCATGGTAACCAGTGCTTTCACACTATTGGCTAGAGAGCCTGCTTAGCCAACACCCCTTACTTCTTCTCTTCGGCTTCACACTGCTGCCTCACTGCAGTTAATGCGGCCGTAGGGCGGATGTGACTCGCTGCCTTCAGATCAACACAAACAATTTTCCAATTTAAAGAAACCATAAATCTGCAGGCCATGTGGTAAAGGATGAGGATGATTATTGAAATAAAACAATGTAGAACTACTATAATTTGTGTATTTTACGATGTGAATCATGACCAAGTGAAATGCATCAATGAACATCTCTTTTTTGTTGCTGTCTTTATTTTTGGACCATACTGTGCATTAGTACACTGTTTACAAAACAGATTGGTGCAAACTGTCAGGATTAAAGGAAAAGAATGAACAAATGACTGTCTGTTGGGAGAAGCGTTTTATCTCATGAACATGCATTTGTATTTCAAATAGTTATTTGAGTAGCTGTAAGAGAGCAAACATTTACCAAACTGTCCAGCATTTTGTTTTAATACTTATGCAGCTTAAAGGTTAAACATGTTATGCATGTTGTAAAATACTAGAACAAGTGTTCATCTTATACATTTACCAGAGATGCCCCTGCATCCCTGTCACCTGTGTTGAATGAAATTACCTTTTTGAGGTTATTTCTTTTTTTTCTTTTTGTGAAACAATATGAATCAGAATTTTAGGTTAAGCTTTTTTACTGAACTGTTTGGCCATCGGAACTAATTTATCTATCCATCCATCTGTGTGAATATATATAT